TTCGAAAAACCATTAATAACCGCGGTATTCTCAAACCGCGGTTTCGGCCGGTGTGAGAAAACCTAATAAAAGGTCTGACTTTCGCGGTTCAATTAAACCGCTGACACCAACGCCCTCTCGCACCGTGATCTACCGCGGTTTTGATCGAAAAATTTTTTCGTGGGAGTGAAGTTAAACCGGTGATCATTAAGCTACAAGAAGAGAATCAATATCTGAAACGTGAAGCAGAACAATTAAAATATAGGTTTAAGTATTGTTATCCGCGCAGTAGAATATTTATTTGTTTCACTTAGAAAAGTTGCAGACGTCGGAAAAAGAAAACAGCATCGTTCTTCAATATGCAAAAGATTTTCGTTTTCTTAAGCTTATTTAAATGACAGAAAACTTGAATAAATTCTGTTTTTTTGGTTTGAAGATGTCAACATGTGAAATTTGTATTCTACAATACCAGTACTATAGATAAATTTATATCCGATCCGGACCAGGTGACATCTGTTTCTCCTTCGTTCTCTTCCTATAAGAACGACAAAATTTTTTTGTCAAGTTGGTTTTTTCCAACCAGAGTAAATGCACGTTCTATAAACGAAAGAGAAATCGACTTTCATGAAAATAAATTTTCGCAAAAAAAAATAATTCTCTAATGATGAAATTCATTCTAAGTTTTAATATTCATTGATAAATTACCAAGTTGCATGAAATTTTATATATTCTCGAGTATAACAGTCCGAAAATAAAACGCGCTACGGGTTCTGTTTTTTTTTGCTTTGGGTTTTTTCCAAGGTAGAATTGCCTTCGTTCTCTGGGGAAAAAATTCTTTTTTTTTGTCTGTATATAAAAAGTAGGTGGCCATATTATTTCTTCATTCAGATGTTGTAAGTGTAACTGGGACGACGATGGCATCTTTAGTCGAAGCTTTGTCGACTGTTCACTTGTCTAAAGATGTGAAAACATCGCCCCAAACCGATGTTCATCATGAACAGATTCAACAATTATCGCCTCGTGTCTATGGCAACGGTAAGTAGACTGTTTCCAATATACAACAAAGTATGTCATAAACATGTTTGTATTAGTTCGTAGAGGAGATGTGATTGTGATTTGGTTGGGGAGAAAAGAATCTTCGTTAAAAAATGCACTTATCGAATATTTAGTTCCTCGTGATATTACTTTAGTTCTTTTATCTATCGAAGAACAACTATGGTGTTGGTTGAATACATATTCATTATTAACAGTTGCTTGTTTAATCATTGAGACAAGTACAACAACATCTGAAGAAGTGGCATGTCGTTGTAGAACGATTCCTTCAATTCGATCGATGTTGATTCGTTGTTGTTCACATGAACTAACTCGTTTACAACGAACATTGAGATCGAATACGAAGATTGATGGTATATTTAGTGATGACACACGTTTGTTGATCAAACTAGTCATTGATGTTGCTCTGTTTTCTGAAGAAATTGGGGATGATCATGCTGAAAATGATAATGATGAAGTTAATATTCGAAGGAACTATGATCGTGCACTTAGTTTATGTGCACTCGCGAAAAGACTGTAGATGAAATAGTGACTGTGAGCCTGTAGACTAGATAATAACTATCGATTTAATCGAAGCATATTTTTAAAGTGTTATTTTGATCGTTGTCAATATTTCTACGAATAAATATCTCTTTTTTTATTTGTAGATTAATATAATATCTAATACCTCTAATATACATGGAATCCTCGAAAATTCTCTTGGTGTGGACAAGCCCAATATCAGATGCAGTAGCACAGCTATTCAACAATGTATCTGTGAAACTGTCTGAATTGATTGAATGTATTACAAACAATATAATGGCAACAGATTTATTTCATCTAATAATTCCGTTAGATTCTTTGCAAAAATTAATCGAAGATCCAGTCTATCACTTCCCCCAAATACAGTATATTGATGTTTATTTCGACGATTTGGATGATCCATTTGGAAAGCAACTCTATCTTACTGTTCTACATGATCATCGAATCAAATTTCATTCTATACGAGATCTACCTCAACGCTTATGTAAAATCATCTGCGATAATGCTGTAGTAGCAATATCTGATTCATTATGCAGAGAAATCGTTTATGCTTTGTCTTCATCCATCGAAGACCGTATTGGTGCTAAAAGTGCCTCAATGTTACTTCGCCATTGTAAGACATCGAAACAATTTCCTCTAGCTGATCTTAGAGGATTTCCTGTGAAGAATATTGATGAAGTTCACTCAGACTTCAAATGTACTTCTTGTCAATTAGTGTTTGAACAGCTGTATCGACTTGAATGTGGACATCGAAAGTGTTCTATATGCGTGAAAGTTCGAACGAAGTAAGTCCTTGTGAATTATTTTCTTATTGTTGACCTTTCATCAATTATAGATGTGCCGTTTGTTCGATAACTATCACGCCAAATCGAATTTCTGTTGGTGACAACAGTCGGCAAACGACTATGAAAGATGAACAGGCAGTTTGTTCAAACTGTGATTGGTCAGGGTCGCTGGGAGTTTATTATCAAGTATGAATCGATGTTTTTCCACGAAGTGATTCACTTTATATATGTTTAGGAACATTTCAAAGTTAAACATCAGGATCTATGGACATGTTTTGTTCAGACTTCGGACTGCAGTAATCATGCTTGGGAATTCAATTCAAAGTACTCAACGACAACACTGTTGGATGGTACAGGTATTTGGAGAATTTCTGATGTCGATACTCTGAAAAGTACGTCTAGTGAAACGGATCCAATCTAGTTTTTAATTCGTATATAACTTCATATAATTATTAGAAAATCCAAAGAAAGCGATATATTCCAGTCCATTCTACCTTTTTCCTGGCGGATACAGAGCATGTTTGAAGCTGTATCTAAATGGCAATGGCCAAGCACGACACACACATACATCGGCATTTCTTGTTCTCATTCCAGGTGACTATGATGAACATCTTCGGTGGCCATTTCAATATCAAGTCACATTTACTTTGCTTGGTCATATCTCAGATAAATATAATGTGTCAACGTCTTTTTTACCTGACAAAACATCGAGTTCATGCCAACGTCCATTGAATACCATGAACATACCGCACGGCGTTGTCAGTTGCTTTTCGCTAGATACATTAGGCAAATATCGACATCATCATGTGCAGGATGACACAATTTATATAAAACTTCAAGTGAATTTCTGTGCTGAAATGCCATGTGAGTGACAGATACATCGCTAATGATTTTCGTTTGTTTTCACATTTTAGTCGCATCGTTAATGCTCGGTGTAAATGAATCCTGCGATGACGAAGAAAATGAAATTGAGAAAACAGTATCGAAATTGCTGGACGATCTGTTATGCGCCACAATGAAGAACACAACATAACGGGTCAAACGAAGAGGTGGGGTTCAAGCCTATTGTTTTCTTCTATCAAATGAGATTTGTTAGTTTGAATAATTCTTTCATAATTTCAATTATCTACGCCGAGATTTTCATCTGAGATCATCTATGACAATTCACTCGATAGAATTTCTCAGTTCAGTAAAAACAAAGCAACTCTAATTTAACCGATACATCAGCTATAACTTTCTTTGATCATACGTTCTATTTGTTGGTGACTTTAAATAACTTTTTGTAGCAAACTGCAAATCTTTTAAGTGCCAGTGATGAGAATATGTGAAAAATGTTTTGTTTCGTTAACAAATAAAGAAAAAATTATTCGAACTAGCACGACTTGTTTTAATCGACGTGTTGTTGATTTGTACTCACTTCAATAAAAATCCATGGTGCTTACCACGAAAATAATAACTCTGAAGAGTGTAAATCAATTCTTCATTTCTTGTTATCTATGAGGAGAGTGATTGCATGAACAGCTCATCAATTAAAATGCCAATCGTTGTTGATGAGATTAGTGTGAGACGACTTGGAATCGATTGATTCAATGGTGATAAACCATACGAATTTTTAGTAAATAAGGCTAATTTCTTCAAGTACGCTGGTCTATAGAAACACTCGAGTGCTGATAGGCAAAGACTATGAATACGTAGGCAAGCAGCAATAAAGTCTGAAAGCAAGCATATATTAAATTACATTTTCTACCAACATATGTCCGACGAATGTTGCTCGTCTATTCCTGGGCATTAAGATAGAATAACTTTTAATTGAAACACTAGATCGTTTTATCAATTATCTTTGGTTAAAACATGTGAAAATAAACATTAACATGACAATAAGTCGTAGATTTGTGTTTCAAAATAGATGCAAAAAGTAACCGAAACCAGAATTGAACCCTGAGGCTAGATGCATCTGTCAGTTAGTGTAACTATATAGGAACTTTTCACTAGCTCTATTCGGTAAAAACATTCTGTATAACCATGTTATTCTACAATTCTCTTGACCTGTAATTGTCTGATATTTGTTGGAAACTCGTGAATGAGTAATGAATTTTACAAGTTGCAAATTGTAGATCAGCACACATAGATATAAAACTGTTCCGTTAATGTGCTGATTATCATTCAAATTTGCCTCCTTGAAAAGTAGGATCGATTCTGAGCAATCTTAGAAGAAGTTATTAAAAATCAAATCAGGACACTTTCTAAGGTACGAGACTGTATCACTAGTTTGGAAAAACCTCATTTGATGATTACGGTATACCTAGCATACAGCCTACGATCCTATTTCCCTCAAGTTCATAGCACGAATGACCATTACATGCAGTATAATCATATTTTGTTCTCTTGAAGACGGTATAGTTTTGGTTGCATTCGTTTCTGGACTCCAAGAACTTTCTGTCTGACGACAAATGTTAATTTCTTTTATTATAACTACTATATTGGAAGAAAGCGCGTACCGCTTTCAAATTATGATATACGGAAAGACAAACAAATAAAGCAAGTTCTTCTCTACGAGCAGTTTTTCATTATAAATATAGAGTTTGAAATATCAGTCAACGATCAATCGAATATTGGAAAAATTATCTCCATCTTTCTATGCAATGCCTGTTCGTTCTGATATCTGTATTTATACAGAGTGCAGTACCTGAAGTTTTTACAGAAAATTTGAAAGTAGTATGCATGGCTGCCATCAAGTCAATCAATTTAGAGAAAAGTAACATTTTCCATCTACGTATTTCTTATTTTCATTTGAATACTTATATGATGCTAAAAATGATTGCAGGAAAGTTCCCATTATTACTCTTGTATACTTTGCTTCCGCCAGCAATTCAACAAGATATACGATCCCTTCGTATCTCTACCATTCCTAATGGTCAATTCAGTTGTATCAACACAACATATTTACCATATAGTACAACCACAGTCTCCAAAATTTTGTATTGTCAAACAACTTGTTTAGGAAATCTTCAGTGCCAAGCAGCTCGTTTTCATCGAATAACTCACCAATGTCATATGTTTTCCTATTTCACATGGTTTAGTGCCAGTATGGTACCAGCTATGAACAGTGTTACGTTGGTCGTCTCTGATGATACACGGGTTCCATCAAGTAAGAACAGTATCTAGTTTGGATACAAAACTGGATTTACAATGGTGATGGAGAGACTGGCCCATGTGCGACAAATAATAATGTTGTACATCCTGCAGGTTAGAATTATGACGGATCAATCACACAAATGCAATATGGTGTTAGCGACGCAAATCAAAACATGACTACTCCAAGGCCGAGGTAAAAATAAGATCAAGCTAAAGCCGTCCTCCTTTTGTTGTTTAGTGACCGTGGAAAATGTCATTTTTATGGCCTAAATTCAACGTATGCGACTACAATGTGGCAAATAGTTGATATGACAACATCAATCAATCCAGCTCCTATTGACAATCAAATCGTTCGATTCAATCTTTCTGCATGGCTTGGTGATTATGCCAGAGACGAAGACGCTGCTGGAATATTATTCACATTTTTAACTCAAGCTAACCAAACTGTAGGCAATACTACTACTCTTGGACCAGTTTCACCTGCAGACCGTAACAGCGCAACATTAGTTTATCGACAAATAAATGGACAAGTACCTATTGGTGCCCGTCGTTTTAAACTTTTAGTCACAATCACTCGCGTGTCGGGCTCTATTAATGACGGCGACGTTGATAATATTGCGCTTTGGTTCTATCGTTTATAAAACATTTAATTGCTGCCGTACTTGACGAAAAACAATTTTCTAATGAAATTTTTCATAACAAAGAATATTATTCAAACACTTTCCTGTCTGTTACCACGAAGCTTTTTCAAATCTACCTGTTTTATGTGCTAACGCACGCTTTTCTTTCTTGTCGCTTTCCTCACGCTAAACGTATCTTCATTTCGTTTAACATAAAGGATCGATATTGTCTGACATTTTCGACGGATCGATCAATCAACAAAAATAAAGTAAAGAAAAGGGAAAAAAATATGTTCAACTCTTCTCACTTATTCCTCACACAGCTGCGAACTGTTCACCTTTCACCGCGAATTGCCTTCTTTTTCTCTCTCTCTCTCTCTCTCTCTCTCTCTCTCTCTCTCTCTATTCAACCGGTTGTATATATAAGTCAATACGTTTGCTCTGCATTCAATATCAAACATCAGACAATTCGTCTACTATATTCACTTGCACATCGCATTCACCATCAAATTGTTAACAATGCATCGTATTATACTCATCGTTGCCTTAGTCTTGGTCATGCAAGGTGTTTTCTTAATTCATGGAGGACCAGTTAGTACTCATGGTGTCATTGGTCACGAAGAGTGGAATACAACAGTTCATCCAGATTCAATGGGACAAGAGATTGGGAAACGCATGGAATGTAGCTGTAATACGCGGTGTCGGAATTACTGTGCTGACTTGCCTCTTGACTATCCGTGCTCAACGCAATGCTTATAAATTGTGGAGCGAGGGCGAAGCGTATTTTATTGAATTGTATAAATATTGTTTGTTTGTTTGTTCAGCGTGATGGATCCTGAATTAAAAATTCCATTAAATAGTCTTTGTTAGTTGAATACTCGATAATCACTTGTTTTCGGACAAGATGGATGAGGGCGTAGGTGTATGATTCATCTACAACGACGACCATATAATGAAAGAAGACGTTTCAGATAGGCTGGTCATTAAAAAATTGAAATTTACTTATAAATTTAGTATGATATGGTAACAGATACTGGTAGAAATTAGTTTAATGGTGTGAAATAACTATACGTAAATGTGGAGTATGAGAGAAAATCAACGCCTTCCATTGGTAAACATCCAAGTTATTCGCACTTTTCGATAACTGTAACATGTTTAGATGTGTAAAATGTCGTGACATGAAGGACAGAAGTTGCTCAGGTTGAATTTTTCCGAGAGAAATCGATGCGCGTAATAGATAGTTCGATGCAACCGAGAGAATTTCAGATGGATCGCTAGCATCTGCATCCAACGTGTCCACAGATAAATAACGGAGTTGAGAAGTATATGATAAAATAGATGAAAGGATGTTGAGTTTACATTCTCCTTTCAAATAAAGGTATTTTATTGGACTGAATGAGTTGTTGTCTGCAGGTGGAAGGTTCGCGTCGAAACCAGTTTTGAATGTCATTTTGCAATATTTTAACATAGGTAAGCGGAATATTAAATCGTATATATTAGATTTACCAGACTCGGAACCATTGTAGATAATATTCAATGAAGAGAGAGAAGAAATTGTTGTTAATGCAAGGAGAAGATTTTCAAGGTAGACCAGTTCGATTTGATCGAGGAGAAGGTAGCGTAATCGAGTGAATTTTGAAGTATTCTGTAATAGGAGAATTATAAGAGCCATAGGGAAAGAATTTAATAGACAAAGTGAATGAATTCGGTGGAGGCGTCGGAGAAGAAATCGCGTATAATAACGATGGAATGATCGATTTGATACCAGAAACATGTCGATTCGGAGAGGAAAATTGGAATGCAAAACAAGATTTTGAAATCGAATGTTGAGATTAAGAAAAGATGTGTAAACATCGTAAGCATCGAGATACTCAAATACTTCGCAGATGATTTCATTTGAAAGATCATCGAAACGTGTTGGTACTGCTATTAATTAAGAAAATTGCTAGACTTACAAAGAATAGAACAGTACGACTTACTTCGGATCTCTTTTGAATTATTTTCAATTCGGCGCCGCTTTGCTTGCTGCATTTTGAAAGATCTATTTATATTTGCGTCAAAGTAGATTTCAATTCTGAATTGTGAAGGCAGAGCGCGATGCAATATTATTCTGTTCGCTAATGATCCGTGTGTACGTCGTCGATCTACCAATAGGAATTTTTTATACCTCTATAATATATATATATGGAAGAAAACAAAGTGTTAAAACACCGAAGAATGTCGCTATACAACGAGAGTATATTTTGAATAACAAAAAAGTAGGGAGATTATGTTGGAAAACTTTCATATATCTTCATCCATTATATACGTCTTTTCCGTTGTGTAGTCTTGACATTGCTTAAGAATGTTGCCTTCTCATTATACGGATGTAGAATTGCTTGGTTCTCTTTTATTCAATCTATGATGGGTGTGGGTGTGAGTAGATGTCTAAGATTACCAGATCAATTATCGGCAAGGACATTTGATAATGTGTCTGTCACTGTCTACAGCATGCCAATAAGCACTCACCTCGATCTATGTCGATTCCTAATATTATGTAGGAATCACGGCACGTACAAGTGTTTTCACCAATACAATAGATACTTTTCTCTGATGAAATGTAGTCCGAAAACATTAAGATGCGTGTTTATTATTTCGTTTCTATTGATGATATTGAAAGTGAGCACGTGGATGAATATAAAAGAGGGAGAATTAACGAAGTGTAACTAGATATAAACAAATGCAGAAACATTCATACTATTGAAGGTGAGCGCGATGGAACGTGGTTTTGTTCTCGTTGGACTTGATGAAATTGTCGACGAAAATGCACGTGACAAATTTCGAAACACAGTTCAAACTGCCAAAACCTTCACAGATGTCGGTTCTTATATTGAATTCATTCAGAAAAATCCAATGGATCGAATTGTACCCAGCCCGTCAGACACAATGGCTGAAACAATCCTTCCTGAGACTCGTGACCTTCAACAGGTACACGAAGTTTATATATTATCGAAGGAAAAAGGAAACTACAGCGATGTGCGAGAACAATATTCGAGAGTCAAGATTATTTGCACCGATACTTCGTCACTTTATGAGACGCTGAGTACAAATGACAAAGAATGGGTCGCAAATCTAGTATCAGTGCATTTTTTCACCGCAAATAGTGACGATGAATTCAGAAAATTCTACCAATTATTCAAAAATATGTTGTTATTAATTGATGATGATCGAAAACAGATGGAAGAATATCTGAATCAATACGAAGCTCAAATGAACAATGAAAAATATCTTTCCCAATCGCCGATTTCGCGCTTTATCTCTCATCAGCTTCATACTTCATTCCTCCGCAAAGCTCTATACTCGATGGACATCGATATGCTTATAAAACTTGCCTGTTTCATTCACGATCTGGACAGCAACATTTCCCATATTTATTCAAAACAATGTAACCAAGATCATCAACATTCATCAGCCTCGACGGCCTGTTTCAGACACATTTTATCGCAGAAAAAGTTCGAACAATTGAAAGCAGCAAAAAACGGTTGGATAGTATTTCAAACTTTCCTTTTAACAAATCCAGATTGCCCGACATCACTTGACTTCGGTCAGCAACATAACCAAAACAAGAGTTATGTTGGAATTCTATTTTCTTTGTTCCCGTCACTCCGCATAGAAAAATACAAACGATTTGAAAACAGTGCTCGACTATGGCAAGTCAATTTGGATTCGGTCGAAGCACTAGATGCGAAGCTTTCTGAGGAAAAGAACCGAAGTCGGTTAATCGCAGAACTTATTCAAACAGACAGAGGACAGGAAGCCTTTGAGGCTATGTTAGAACACATTAATAATGACGACGAGAAAGCGACTCTTTACCAACAGTTAGGATCGATTCGAAATGATGAGCAAAATTATACCGAAGCCATTGAATTTTATCGAAAGGCAATTAGTATTCTATCAAAAAGCTCTATCGATACTAATCTCGCAGATGTGTATCACAAAATCGGTTTAATCTACCGAGATATTCATGCGTACATCGAAGCGTTTTCTTCTCATATGAATGAACTCAACATTTTACAGCAACTCACTTCCCTTAATCATGAAAGTATTTTTATCTGTTACGAATGCATCAGTTACAATGCTGAAATGTTGGAGAACTATTCCGAAGCTATTGCATTCCAACTAAGACTACTGCATCTTGCCCAGCAATACGATTCATCTCCTCATTCGGTTTGTAACAAATGTTTGTTTCAGCTCGGACGATTATATATGCGTCTAAACAATGAATCGGAAGCATTATTCTATTATGAAACATCCTACGAACAAAACCAAGGCATTTCGTTCGAAGAACGAACGAATAAGGTGACTGCCTGCAATGCTATTAGTAAAATTTTTGAGAAAAATAACAATTTAACACAGGCACTTGTGTATTACGAAAAAACGCGAGAACATCTAGAAGAAATACGACCGGTAAATCGTATTGATTACGTGTGTGCGTACAAAAACATTGCTCGAACATTCGATAAACTCAATCAACCTACAAATGCACTTCCTTATTACGAAAAAATACTCCATTTAGACAGAACGGCCCATCCGTCAAATAAACTCGACATAGCCAGTGATTACGCATCAGTGGGAAGGATTCTATACCAGACGAAAGAATATAAAAAAGCGCTCGTGAATTTGCATATCGCAACGAGGTTGTACGAACAAGTAAATCCTTCAGATGAAACCGATTTAAGTCACGTCTACAACTGCATTGGTTCTCTTTACCAAGAAACAGGCGATTATGCAAACGCGATCACATTTTTCGAGAAACTAGTTCCTATTCAAGAACAAATTCTTTCACAAACGCATCCCGATTTAGATCTTACATATTGTAGATTAGGTTTTATATATACTGTCACAAACCAACTGTCGAAATCTCTGTTGTACTGTGAGAAGTCGCTCGAATTACAAAAGAGAAAACTTCCTGACAATCATCCAGATCTTGTATCTTCCTACCAGTGTGTGGCAAAAGTCTTGATGGATGTAAAAGAGTACGATAGATCACTGAAGTATTACCAAAAAGCAATAGAAATTCTTGAAGTAACACAATCCGGTGATCCAGATGATCTTAAGGCTATGCTCGATATTGTCATCAAAATTTATTCAGTGATCAACGATGATAGAAATGTACTTCTTTATCAAGAGAAAATTCATCGATATCTGCTGAAAACTTGTTCACCGGATGATCACAACCTAATCAATTCATACGAGACTCTTGCATATCTATATGAAAAGTTAAATGAATACGAAAAGGCCGAGTTAATTCGCGAACAACTGATCGAAAATTATGAACGAAACCCCTCATTAGCTCAATGCGATTTGCCGAACCTGTATCTGAAAGTTGCTGCACATTTCGAAAAAGAACGCAATTATACAAAAACATTCGGTTATTATCAAAAAGCATTAGATAGTCTACAGAATGATCCTCGTCCTAATCTCTCCCATATCGTGACGCTTTTCTTTCAACTAGGTAGATTTTACGAAAATCTCAAAGATTTTTCTCAAGCATTGCAATGCTACCACGAAGCATTGGATACACAAATGACGATTGTTCCGGTAGACAATCTCATACTGATCATCGCTTATGATAACATAGCGCGAATTTATGATAGTACTGATAGACCTCTGCTATTGATCCCCATGTATGAGAAAAGTATTGACCTCGCCGAACGCATACCTCTAGACAACGTAACTTTAATGGAATATTATCAGAAAATCGTCACTGCGTTGACCACAGTCGGATATTACTCAAAAGCTTTAACATATGGAGAAAAAAACGTGGAACTCCACCGAAAGCTTTATTCGGAAAAGCCTTTACAACTGACCAGTTGCTATACTGATATCGCTGGACTTTATTATCAAATGGGAGATTATACAAAAGCACTCTCATTTTATAAAGACGTGATTACAATTATTAAAAACCATCTCGATTCCAACCATGCTGAATTGGCCACTTCTTATATTAATATTGCGAATGTGCATGTGGCAATTGGGAAATATCCTCAAGCACGGTTGAATTACCAAAAAGCATCGGATATTTACAAGAAAATTCTCCCGATGGATCATCCGTATTTGGCAACTCTTTATGCTAATATGGGTTTGTTGAATAGTAAACTGGGCAAATATTCCGAAGCATATTCGAATTATCAACAAGCGATGAAAATAAGAGAGATTAGTTTTCCGCTGTCACATGTTGATTTAGCGAATTCATATACAAGTTTTGGTACTGCGCTAACGAATATGCGTCAATATAAAGCGGCAATTCTGTATCATGAGAAAGCACTGAAAATCTTGCAATCGATTGTGCCAGCCAATCATCCTTATCTGGCGAGTACATACAATAATCTTGGTGTTACTTATAAAAATATGGGTGAACATGCTAAAGCGCTTTCGTACTACGAAAAAGATTTAGAAATTTCCAAAGAAAGCCTTCCGCCGAATCATCCGGATCTAACTGTGTCCTATAACAATCTCGGTGGGATTTATCTGGCAATGAAAAATTACCCTCAGGCACTTCAATATTATCAGCAAGCATTGGATATTCGGCAGAAAATTCTTCATCCAAAACATTCCGATCTAGCTCAATCATTTAATAATCTTGGTTCAGTGTACATGGCGATGAATAATCGTTCAAAAGCAGCCAAATTCTATAAACATGCCTTAGATATTGCTCAACGAGTCTTACCCGAGCATCATCCTGATCTTTTTGCTTACAGAGAACATGTAAAACATGCAAGAAAATAACTTGTTTTGAAATGTTGAGCGCGCAGGCAAAGATCAGTATATCGTGTGTAGTTTTTGAATACTTTTCTTTTATTTGTTTGATGATCTGTGGTAGATACAATATTTATAAGAAACGACAAAAGCAATGTTGAGAGAAACAGATAAAGTCATTTAGTTTGTATATATATTCTTTCATTCTAATCTCTTTAACTTGCACGTTATCATACCATACTGTGGGTGTGTGGACTCTGTTCGATCTTTGATAAAAGTATCTTCATTCTATTGTTGCATGCACTTTCAGTTTCGATATCATTTCGTATTGAAGACTTTAACATACGAGGTACAATTCCTAATTATCAATTATGACTTCTACACGGAATAACTATTCAATGTCACCGTCCTACACTGATCTTGCAACAGATATGTGGCACACAATGAAATGGTACTACGGTCCAGACGCATGGCGTGGTTACGTCTTTCCAGATTCGTTTATTGACGAATTCACTCAACACTATTACTTTCCTCTTCAAGATATCACTTATATAGTTTATACTGCAATCTTTCTTACACTCATTCGTTCCGTATTTGAACGAACTACACTCAAAGTTTGTTGCTACTAGAGTACACCTAAAATGCCAAGCAGGAACTTTTTGACCTTTAGCCTTTGGCGAACTATTTGAATTTAACTACCGAAAACAACCAAAAGTTCCCTGAAACAGCGTGGAAATTTCTTATGAGTGCATGTGCATGGTTCTACTGTACCTATTTACTCTATTATCGTTATAATTACTACCAAGAACCTTATCTCATCTGGGATGGTAAATGAACATTTCTTTCTTGATTTTCTCGACTCATTTTTTCAAATTTTAGACTGGTCTTCGGGTATGAAAGTTCCCTTTGATATCAAACTAATGTATTTCGGTCGATGTGCCTACGCTTTACATTCTCTTTATGCCATATTCTATAAAGAAGCTAAACGTAAAGACTTCTATGCCATATTCGTTCATCATATATTGACCATGACACTCATTCTCGTATCGTATGCCATTCGGTAAGAACAAAGCACGAATTTGCGTTTCTTTTTTCATTCAAACTTCCTTTTTTTTTCAATCGAACAGATATCATAAAGTTGGCCTAATTGTTCTCTTTGTACACGACATCAGCGATGTTTTGCTCGAACTTACAAAACTTTTACATTATATGAGTGTTCGACAAGGTGGTCAAAAATATCCTCGATATGAAAATGCTGCCAATAGTAGTTTTGTTATATTCACGCTAAGCTGGTATAATGATTATTAGGAGTTCATTCAGGTTTATTTTCTTGATGTTCTATATAGGTTTGTGTTTCGTCTTTATTTGTATCCGTTGAAAGTTTTGTATTCAACCGGAGTTGTTTTTCCTTATCGAACTCACGATAAAGACTGTAATTTATACGGTTTTTTTAACGTACAGTTGTGGATATTACTTGTTCTAAATGTCTATTGGGTCCTGGTATGCATTTCTGTATAAGTAAAAGAAACTGACCCTTACGACTGCTTTTTATGTTTTTCAGTTTCTTCTACAATTTCTCTACAAAATTAGCACTGGCGCTTTGTCAGGTTTGCAAGATACTCGTGAACACGAAACCAAGATCGAAAACAAATCCTGATTTTTTATTTTCGGTACGTTAAGTCAAAGGTTTTTTTTTCTATATAAAACTCTGTTTCTAGCCACGTATGCATTTGTTCGCAAGTCCAATACGCAGATGACTCTCATTTCTATTCTATTATCCAAATCCTCCTATTTTCATCATGATGGTGAATGCTGACTTCAAGATGACATTATTTGTTACTGTACATGATAGAATGTTATTTTTTTAATTTCTTGAAAGAGTAGCAATAAAATAATGTCATTGATGTTTTCCAATGATTGCGAACTGTTAACTTCTCAACTATAAACAACCTCACGAATAGTACAATGTCTAATTATCAACTTGAAAATCACACATGTGCCGATTGTGAACCTCGTAATTCATTTCGAATGACTAATAATCCTCAAAACGTGTTTAAGCATTGTCCTTGAGAACATGTCACATTATTTCTACATCGATACAAACACTTGCCTTGTTCCTATACGTTTATGGTTTATAAAAGTTGCGATGGCATAAAAGTCTTTCTTTGCCGAAATCTGCATCTAGCTGTCGTTCGTTGAACTTTTATAGAGACAAAATTGTACGTTGATCCGAACTTAAGTCATGAAACTTTTCTCCTTGTTGCTTCACTCGATGTCCTTGCACACTTTCTCTCCTTTTACACGTGCGTCGTGAATGCGCATACAATTATTTTGTTTATTTCATATGTATGCTATTATTAACGAACAAAAAAGATACTGGATAAACAGCATTATAAGAGCGATTGCATTTCAGAATTTTGATCTGAACGAAACTTTTGATAGATGGATACAAATGCAACAATCGTTGTTGATAAACTGACAATAGCTAAGATCGTGAAAAACGGACCACTGTGTATTATTTCGATCATTGGAACAATGAATGAAACAACGATTGACGCAACCAAATATTGAAAAGAATACGCTAATGAACTAATACTGCCTGAATTTTCCTGATATTTGCTTGTAAGATACGAAAGAATTCCCGGTCGAGTTGTCGATCCACCAAAGACAGCAAGAACTTGTCCAGTTAAAGGTACAATTGCATGTGGAACTTTTGCAATGGTCCACCCAAAAAGCAGTAGACCAACAATAGTTATCAGAGAAAGCAAGAGCCCTGGTATCATTCGTCCTTCAACAATCTTCGAGATTCGAAACGGTCTTCGTGCTACATAGTCTGTCAATTCTCCTCCAACTACACTACCTAATAGATAGGATATTCCCAGAGGAATGTATAACATACCAACTGTGCTTTCAGACAACGAATATGGCGGTAAAGACATTGCGGTTGTTAGTATTACACCACAGCACTTAAATGCTAACATTCCAGCAACAAGCGGTAGAAGGTAAGGCAAAATTGAACAATGATCCAAATAACATAATGGCAAACATGGATTGATTAATTTTGGTTCCTGTGATTGATCGTACTCGAGTAATTTTATGGCTTTTTCGTCAAGATATTTACGTGTTACCATGTATTGGTGTGTTTCTGGTACTGATAATACGTAAATTATAAGCAGAACTGTCACTACTATGGTAATAAATATAAACGTAGATTTCCAACCATATCTTTGAGATATTTCACCACCAAACACGGGCCCAGTCAGTCCGGACAAAGAACTACATCCATAGAATATTCCATAAATTTCACCACGATGATTTTGATCATATACATCAGCTATGGTTCCTTGTGCTACAACTACTGATGCAGATACTAAACATCCTTGTAACGCACGAAAAATTATAAACACATAGATATTTGGTGATAAATAACATCCAAGGCCAGAAAAAATAAGACAAACAAATGCAAACGTCATTATTGGTTTTCGTCCGTAGTAGTCTGATAATGTTCCCCAGAGCAGACTGGAGAGTGCTAATCCAAACAAATACATACTGATCGTTAGCAATCCCATTGTTTCTGTTGTACTGAAATCTTTGATGATTTCCGGTAATGCCGGAAGATAAACAAGCTCATCAAAGACCGAGAAAACAGCAAGCGCACAAATATTTAACAGTATGATAAGCTTCTGAAATTGACCATATGTTTCATAAATACTTTGAAGTTTCTTTTCTTCAACACTTGTAGTATATTTTTGTGAATTATATAATATCGACATTCAAACACAAACAATAATGTCGGCCTTCGCCTCGCCGGCGAAAAGCAAATCATATATATATATAATCGATTTTTCTCTTCTAGATTATTGATATAGTCTAATGCTCATGTTTCGTTCGAATCCACCCACTCGATTGAGTCAGCATTAGTTTTATCAATGTTGTATGATTAGTCTTCTATGAAGCTCTGAATATAGTCAAAGTTTGACGGATGACGTAGCTGGTTTAGACACGAGCGAATACCTGTATATACCATGTGCTTTGCTCAAGTCGACACTCATTAGGTTTTTTATATGTGAAAAAGTAAAGCCATTTACCTTTATTGTCCTTCTTCTCGTACTAGAAAGAACTAAGAACAGTCGTAATCCGGGAGATTAATATCATAGTCCAATAACACAATTTTTTGTTTTTATAGACACGGAAATGTAAACTTAATAAAGCAAGGCATTCATTCTTGTTATTTATTTGAATCTTCATCTTCAAGAGTGTGAGTGTGAAGAAGAATGTTAGGCGTTACTTAATTTCATATCCTATCGCCTACAACACTATTATTGACCATATTCTTGTAACATAGAACACTTATTTAAATTATCTAAACATAGTGTTACAGATAGCAAACATTTGATCAATATATAGTTTCAGAAGTTGCGTAGTTTACCTCATTGAGCTAAGTTTTCTCGTGGAGAAATTTTATTGATGAAGAAGAGCATATGACATGAGGTTATGTAATATTTGAGATCTTATTCTACTAATAATTCAAAAGGTACCACCTATGGCTTCTTGTGAGAAATTAGTTTCCTCTATGATTAGTCAAGAAAATAATATGAAAAATACGAATTGCATATGGAAATGACATTTAGGGAAAATCCCAACTGATGCCTATGACACACAACTATACACTTGCATGGTGTTCATAAAAATAATTTCACGTATGTTTCCTTTCATATTAATTGGCAAAAAAATGCATCGTTTCCAACCATGAATTGAATACCAACGGCGTGAATACCAATGTGTTGAAACTGAAGACGGAAAAAGACTTTTTCCAACGCGGAATTTCTTCCTTGAATACACAAAACTGTTTCTATGACGATATTCTTCGTATAAATATGTTTGTCAGCTCATACATTACCTTACTTTTCAAATAGGATTTCCAAATGAATTCTTTCATTATTACCGTATTCCCCTTAGTTTGTGGATTGGTATCAGCGCAAAGTTGTAGCAGTGGTTATTATCAATATCAAGGCAAATGCTATCCTTGTTCACCTGGTTACTACTGCCCGAATGGTGTTAATCAATACATCTGTCCTGCTGGCGAAATTGCATCCGATTGGAAATCGACAGTATGTTCCGTTTGTTCTCAAGGATATTATTCATCTTATGGTGGATCGGAAGAATGTAAAAAGTGCCCTAAAGGATATTTCTGTCCGCGACGAGATCAAGAACCTATTCGATGTAATCGTGGAGAAGTGTCAGATGGAGGTGCTACAGTATGTAGTAAATGCTCACTTGGATACTATTCATCTGTTCGCGGCGGATCGGCATGTTTACTATGCCCTGCAGGATATCAATGCCCTCAAGTGGACCAAGTACCGATTCCATGTCCAATCGGAACTTACTCTAACGTTGGTCAAACTGTTTGTTCAACTTGCTCAACTGGTTATTATACAACGTATTTGAATTCCACTCGCTGTTACCCTTGTCCTCCGGGATACATGTGCCAAGATCCAAAATTATGTCCTAAGCCGTGTCCAGCAGGAACCTATGCACCTGACTTACGTTATACTTCATGCAGTAGTTGTAACGGTGGAGCATGTTCAAATGTAACACGACTCTACGACTGTAATTCGTGTGTACAAGCGAAAGTGATGAACTGCACAGAGGGACAATATGTTCCTATTTACAGTTGCACAAGAAGTTAACTCATTTTTTTTATTCTTGAAAACTATCTAATCTGGAAACTATACATTATTTTCAACTAATCTCGAAATAAATTGACATGTTTTTATATCTCAGAGTGATGAGGCTTTCGAAAGAATGTTCAAGGTATGAACACGAAACTAAACAGAGCAGTCGTCAAAAGCATGAGAATACGTCATGGTAATTGGCTGTCTGACCCATATCCTCATTTTATGCTAGACAATGACTAGATAGTTCAAAAGGTTATTCAAACGCACTTTTATGCCGGTTTATTCTTTTTCTTCTAGGCACACTCCTACATATTATCGGTGCTAATAGGAATGCGTGACTAATGAATTGGACAGCTATATATTTCGTCATTCTCTGTTCAGACGTGATCAGTCGAATGTAATGATTTTGCGTAAGTTCATTCGAATAAACCGACAACAACAGCGTTGGTTCGATCTCATTACTCATCGTCAATTTCATCGAACAGCCCGATTGAATTGTGGCGTTCTTTCCTACTTCTATAATTCACCAACTCCAACTATTTGTTCAAATGACGATTATCGATCGTTGTTGAACGGTCTAAATACCTTGAAACATCGTGGTCCGGATGGAGCGCCATCGTTATGGCAAAA